AAAAGCCATATATATGTGTTTGTCCCTACATCCTATTGTTCACCCAGGATCACAGCCCTCAGGGAACAGGGATGGGGAGAACCCTAGTATAGTTCCAGAGTGGAAGGGCAGACACCATTCTGTTTTAATATTAAACTGATATAATTACCTCATACTTGTTAAAAGATTTGTTACTTAAGAAATTAATTAAGTCCCAAATAACAGATTAAGTTAGCTGTAAAATTAAATTTCCCCAGGACGTAATTTCACTTTATTGTTCTAAATATTTGAATAGATTTCTAAAGTTAAAGTTCTCCTTCTTGGCCGGGTGCGGTGGCTCATGCCTGTAATCCCAGCACTCTGGGAGGCTGACGTGGGAGGATCTGAATTGAAGACCAGCCTGAGCAAGAGCAAGATCCCGTTTCTAGTAAAAACAGAAAAAATTAGCCAGGCCCAGCTACTGGGGAGGCTGAGGCAGGAGGATCACTTGAGTCCAGGAGTTTGAGGTTACAGTGAACTGCAATGACACCACTGCACTCTAGCCAGGGCAACAGAGTGAGACTCTGTCTCCAAAAAAAAAAAAAAACTCTCCTCTTTAAACAGACTATCCTGAATATAAGTTACCCATCTTTAGTGCTCCAGGTTCACATTATCATTACTGATAATTAATGACTGGCTGTAATTCAGTGCTGTGATGCTGGTATTCGAGGCTTACTGAAGTGACTAAGGACATTTTTTTCTGTACATTAGGCCACATTTTTAAGTAACACTATGTTTTATATTCAAAGGTGCTAGATTTAAGCCAGAAAAGCATACATTTAAAATCTTTAATTTAAAATATTATAAGTATATATACCCTGGATCCTACTAAGACTACCAGGAAGCCTCTGCTTAGCAGTAACTAACCCCGCAGGTGTCCTCCCGCTGGTGTGTGCCACCATTTCAGTCGTGTAGGGGACACGCGGAAGCAGGTCAGTATGAGGTGAGGTGACAATAACTTATCCTAGTTAACGCCTATTCTTTCAATGCTCCAGGAATGAATCACTGAGGATATTAACATATGTGTTATTAATCTAGAAACAAAGAATCCAGAATGAGTAATTTTCTGTTAACTGACTCAAAGAGAAATAAATGAAAAGGAAATTTGATCCAATGTAGATAATGACAGTCTGAACTCACTTTCCACCTCCGTTAACAACTCATTTCCTAGCTTTTAGCTCCGTTTTTGTTGTTTTTTTTACCAAAAGAAGGAATATCACTAACGTTTTTGGTATGTGTCACAGTGGTGTCATAATTAGCGTCCATAAATGTGTTCTGAGGACTTGACCAAGCTACCTGCAATACGGGGCCCGGGAGCACCACCCCAGGCCACTCTCCCGGCTCACCGCGCTGTTTGGAAGGCTCCTCCTCCTCCGTTGGCTCTGATGGGTCGTAATAGTCACTACCGTAAGTGAACCCCACGGCATTGTAGCTCCCATCCTCTGCCAGGGCTTCACTCAACCGCTTGTATTCTTCCTCTTGAATAAAAATGAGAATTTTATTAACAAAAATGGAAATTTACCGAGAAAAACTTTACATATTTCTAAAGTTGTAGCTATCAGTAAAGCATACAATGTACGTTTTACAACCTCCTTTTGAGGTGAAAATGTTTTCAAAAGTTCACACTTTGTATCTATCAATATGTACTTTTGCCAGTACATGTTTACCCACAGACAGCTGAATACACATCTTTTGTGGAATATTTCTTCCTGCTGAGAAAATTTTGGGATTAAGAACTGTATTAAAGATTGTTATGGCAAAGACAAGAACATCAATTTTAATTTATACGATACTGTTAAAGAAGAACAGTTAAAGAGTTTGGTTTTTGTTTTTTTTTTTTTCAAATCCCAGTCTGCCCTCAAAAGCTGGGAAAATTCTTTGTGGCTCTATATATAAACTATCCTGAGGTCCTCTCAGAACGCAAAGACTCCTGTTTTTCCAATCCACTGGGTACTGTCAAGATAATATCAGAAAGAGTGAGTATAAAAAAATGAATGGGAGTAAATTTTTAATACTTAAAATTTTTTAAAAAGTTTGTTGCTTAAGTAAGTTTTTCTTGAGCAGTACCTTGCCTTGCCTCCTCCTCAAGCAAGTCCGTATGCAAGGCTAAATACCTCTCTTCATCACACAGGGCATCTACTCGTGCCTCCTCTTCAGACAGCTGGTAGTCTCTGTTCCATGTGGAATACTCAGCATCGTACTCAGAAAGGTCATGCAGGTGACCACGTCCATCGTATCTGTAATGTGAACAAGCTGGTCAATAAAGAGAAATTAACGTCCAGATTGGCGTGTGTGTGTGATATTTTATATATTTATACTTACCAATTAAAATAAAGAAATAAAAATACTAAAACAAACATAAAAACTCTTCTGAGATTTATATTTAATTTTGCTAGTCATATCTCACCTACTTTTAAACTCAAATTATCTTAACAAAGTCAAAATTTCTTTCTACGGTATGATAAAACTTTTATAATTAAAGGCAAACAATCCTTTATTAGCATAAATGTTATCCATTTCACTGGCAGTTCTTACCATTATGGTTTGGTCAACCATTCAGTGCCACTTGCAAAAAAAAAAAAAATCTTTTTTCTGAGAAGTCAAATATCATAGCTTACATTCACACAAACCGAATACATAAATACCTATCCGTAAGAACCAAACGGTCGAAATTTCCTCGCTTCTTTCTGCTAGTCCCGAACTCTCAGGAGAGATCTTCACCAAAGAAACTTGCGTCGATGGGAGGTAAAATCTTGGCTAGGCTCGCCCCCTAGCCACTTGGCTGAGGAAATAAGTGCTGGGTTATGTGATAGAGAGACACACATACATAGGAACAGTGACATATACATGCAGTTTAAGGAGGTTCACTGGAAACAGAGCAAAACTATTAGAAGGTGCAGGATCAGTATTTCCTTCTGAACTTTATACCTCCAGGAAATAACATACACGAAGACACATCCTCGTTTCTCTTGCATGGACCAATAGGTACTTTAGCCAAATTAAGAACGTGAGCACTTTCTGCTATGCTTTTGACATAAAAGATTCAATGAAGATGCCGTGAACGTGTAACTGTCGGATAATAAGCGAGTCAGTGAATTTTACTTAAAACACTCAGATTCAGGGTTTCGAAAGCAAATGGAGAGAGACAAACAAAAGTCTGCCTAATTTTCTAATGCTGACTTTTGTAATGGGGACCAAAAATGTTAATGTTAAAAAAAAAGAAACAGGGAAAAGGCCAAAAATTCCAGGGTAGCCAAGTTATTGCATTTTATGGAATTTCAAAATTAATTTTACTTTGACGTAAACCTCCTTAACTTACAAATGTAGATTATTTTAAAATATTACACATGTACATGTGTAGCGTTTGCTCCCCACCGGTTTTGGAAGACCTAACTCAAATCATGTACAGAATGATATGGAAAACTGCATAAAGAGCTCAGACTTCAGTGCTTACCAAACTTTAATAATAAATATCACAAGTAACACTTTGGAAAACCAAGCCTGATAACTCGGGTGACATTCGATATAAACCATGGCTTAAAGGCACAGCACGTTTGAGCGAAGCACAGAGCCATCAGATCCAGACCTGATCTGACCTGGCAACCCTCCCTGCACGGCGCCTTGTTTTCTAGATCTAATTCCAAACGGAAACGTCAGGGATGGAGAAAGGCCTATTTGGTCGTTAATGTGTCCATTCTGGCCAGCTCAGAGGTCATCCCTACAGTCGTGTTCCAGGGCTTTGCGGAATCCAGTTTTAACGGTCTCTCAATCGATGGGCTTCCTTCACTTGGAGACACTATTCCACAGTTTAATGGCTGGTCACGGTTAGCTTTGCAGTCCGGGCCCCAGAAGTAGTGTTGCCAAACTGGCAAAAAACAAAACAAAAAACCCACCCCACCCCCAAAATGCAGGTAGGAGGGGAAGGAAAGGAAAAATGAAAAAATGGGAGGAGGGGGGGGAGCAAACAATCTACATCATGTAATGTCATCCTTTTCAAATCAAACACCTTTAGAAATCCCTGATCCCAGGCCCCCTCTGCCCACAGTCGCTAAACATCTTCCAGGGTGATCACCTAAAGCAGGTTTTATCTGAAAAGAAACAACACTTGTGCGTCCCGGCTCCGCCCTGCAGTTTTAAGACACAGTGGAACCGGCCCTAAGAACACTACCTCTAAGAAAGAGCAGGGCCGGGGTCCGCACGAAGTCAACCGACCTCCAACTGATGGGCAACTTAACCCGCTACCTCGACCTGTCAGACTCGTCGAGTTATCACCGGGGAGGGGCCAAGCACAGGCGCTCCACTGAGGGCGCTGGGGCACGAAAGGTTCAGGCTAACTCACGGGGTCCCAAAGAGGCTTCTAACCACGGCCTGAGCGTGCGGCGTTGCAGAAGAATAAAAGCGCGCTTCCCGGGCTGCCTCCCAGCGCCCCGCGCAGCGGGAGCGCACGACCCCACGGCGGCGCCGGGCGGCAGGCCCCGGGCACCCGCAGCTTCCACCGCGCGGCATCGCCAACTGCAGCCCGGCGACGGGGGCGAGGGGTCGAGGGGGCTGCGGGAGCAGAGACGATCCCTCCGGCGACAGACGCGGCACGCAATTCCGGCCAGTGCCTTAGGGCAGCTTTCACCGTCCCCCAACCCCAAGAACACCGGGAGGAGGTGGGGACCGGGGAGGGGGTGCCCCCAGATCCCCGCTGGCTCCAGAACACCCCTTTTCGGTCCTGGCCATCAAGTCAACATCAGACGAAATCAAGCGGGTGAGGGAAGGGGAGGATCGACGGGTGGGGGGCGGAACCGACCTGTCGATGAGGATCTTGTGGTCCCCCATCCAGGGGATGAGGTGCTGTCCCTGTTCCTGGGCCAGGGCCCGCTCGTCGTCCCGGAACAGTTTGCAGGCATAGCCGAACACCAGCAGCTCCACTCGGCTCCCCCCACCGCCGGCGCCGCCGGGCCCGGCCTCCTCCTTCGCGCCGCTTTTCCTCTCGGGTTTGGCGCGGCCTCCGCCCGCGCCGTACATGACAGCGTCCCCGGCGTCCAGGCCGGTCCTCTTCTGCGCCGCGCGACGTCCCGGATGCCTCCGCCTGGCCTACCCCTTCAGTCAAAGGCGTCGCTTCCCGGCCCCGACCTCAACACCGCCGCCATAGCGGGCCACAAAATGGAGGAAGCGCAACTTCCGGCAGGAGGGCCCGCACTTCCGGCGATTGCAGCGGCAGATTCGCCACAGCTTGGAGCCGTTTGAGCCTCTGGAAAACATGCCGACTTCAGGGCTCGCATTCAGATGCGTCTCCACGATCGGAGCTGCTTCGTGAAGGGGAGAGCGCATTTTTAACTTTTATTTTCTGGGGCGGCCATCAAGAACGTGACGAAAGCGCGGCGTGAGGATCGCGCGCCGGCTTCGCCGCGGCCGGTCGGGGAGGGGGACGGCGGCGCAGGGAGGCCGGGCTCGTCCCCGCGGGTGTGGACCGCCTCGGGCCCGCCGCGGGCGCCGCGTTCCAGTGGCGGGGCCGCGCCGGTCGTGCTCTGCCCGGGGCGGTGCACTCCTTTCTTTACGCCGTTTCCTTCTCGGTCGCAACGGGGTCGTGACCGTGGGCCCGCCCACCTCGGAAGGTTTCCGAGGCAGCTGTCAGGCTTGGGAGCCGGGAGGCCCGCGCGGGTGACGGGATTTTAGGGCCCGGGGACCCGGGTCGGGGGAAGCGGGCGGGGGTGCGGGCAGACCCCGGTCTCGGAGGCAGGTCGCCCGGGCGCGGCGTGATGGTGCCCGGTGTGCTTCCTCCGGCTGCGGTTTTCCCGCCTGCGGTTCCACTGGGCTCTTTCGGGTCCTTTCAGCTCGGAGGGGCTGGAGTGCAGAAGTTCAGACTTGGGGACTGGCTCCCCCAACTCGTGCCCGCGACTGGAAAACTCTAGGGCGGGCAGACGTTCCCCCTTCTGGGCGTCAGATCCCTTCTCTGTAAAATAGCGATGTCTTTTTAGCAGCAATGTTGAAACGAGATGAAGCTTATGAGTGTTGACCGGTTCTTGAAAATTAAGCAGCAGCGGTTCCCAAAAAATGGGCTTCATTCAGGTTTCCCCGGACCGGGTCGCACTCTGTCTTCACTGGGCAGCCCCCCACCCGGGTTAACTCGGTCGTCCCTCCCCCAGCGCGGCCTTGTCTGTCCGCGTTGTGAGTTCCCCTCACTTGCCGGCCCCCCGGCCCTGCCGATTTGTCTTGTGGCGTTCACCGCCACTTTGCTGACACGTCAGGTGTTCGGTGTCCCGCTGGAATTGGCTTTAGGAGAGCTGGGACTTTGTTCGGTTCCCCTTAGCATCCTCCGTGCCTGGAAGAACACCGGGCATGCGGTGGGGCACCTGCTGGTTAATACCCGCACGGCGAGTGGGCCGGCACCTTCCCGTCTGCCTCTGCCTCACCTGCTGCTGCTGAGGAGGATGTGCTGTCATGGTTGCCCCCAGGCGTGTGCTGGTCTCCTGGGGTGTTGGGCCCCTTCGGGCTTTGCCTTGAGTTCGAGGAGTAGGGTGTAAAACAAATAAGAAGGCCATTAGCCTGAGGTTGTCTCTGTAACTGCAGATCCCACGCAAGCAAACCGACACTTAATTCAATTTAAAAAGTGACGTGAAACTTAGCTTAATCAGAAACCGCCAACTAACCTCTAACTGGGGCCTTTCCACTGGGTCATACCCAAGTAAGGCAAACGCCTAGCTGCAGCTACTCAAGGGATTTCTCCGCTCTGCTTCCGTGTTCGGTATGAAAGCTCGCTGCTCACGTTGCAGAGTAGAGCTCTCCGAACCTCTTCCAGTTCTGAGTGCTGCCTGATTCATGAATTGCTTTTTGCTCAAATAAACTGTTGAATTTGTCTAAAGTTTTTCTTTTAGCAGTTCTGGTCTCAGGAATGGGATCTGAAGGAAACCTCCCCCGTCCCCCCAGTGATGACCCCTGGAGCAAGAAGAAAACAGGTATAGGTGCCCCTCTGTGCACGACAGTTTTCTAGGTAGCCTTGGACTGACCCAGTTCTCCCCACTTCTCATTTGTTGTTCTCAAGAATAACTGTAGAATATCCTGGCAGTGCAACATTCTGAGGTAGGGAGGGACTGGCTGAAACAGCCCAGACTATGTTCCACCCTCCCCTAGAAACAGGATGTTCTTCTGCGCTTTAGCCTGGTGATCCATGTAACCCTGACGTGTTTAACCCTGGGTGGGCTGTCTTTTGGGGTCTCTCATCTGCGGTGTGAGTGCGGCACACACAGTCAAGACTCCATCTGCCCCGGGCAGCTTTCTGAGCCTTGGGGGATTGGCGTACAGTGAGCCCTGGGCTTCTGTTGCCCCTTGCCACCTGTCTGTAAGTGGTTGGCCCGCTGCATGTCACTTGTTGCTTACGAGGGTGTTCTGTCTCATGGATTAGAATAAGTCGGTAACCAGTGCACAGTGAGTCTGCCTCACTCAGCCCGTTGTGCTCACTGCCCTTTGTTGTGCATTTGGAGGTCACCGCTGGCAGGTCCTGCTTAGATACAAGCTCCACAACTTCTGTCGAGTTCTCCAAGTTTATTTGAACATGTTTGGTCTGAACTGGGTCCAGAAGTCACAGTGGAAACTGGACTGGGTCCAGTACAAGGCCTCTGGGAACTGGACTGGGTCCAGCTGAGGCCTCTGGTAGGTGAGATGACAAGAAGACAGGGAATCATGGCTTCTGCTGGATCCAAGGAGTCTGGTCCTCCATCTGGAACTCCAGCTGATTTCATGTGTAAGAGCTAGGGACTCAGAATCTGTGCTTTCCTAGAGAAACCGGTAAACCTACCAAAGGGGAGGTACCATGGCCAAAGTGAGGAAATTTTAACCTAGATAAAATTACTCACTCGCAAGGCACGTTAGGAAAGAAAAGATCCAAAACACCTCAGAAGCAGTGGGGTATAGTTTTGATTGGCATGCAGAGGCTTCTAAAAGGCTAAATGAACAAAAGATTGCCTCTCTAAAAGAGTCCTTACAAAAGGCAAATGAAAAGCTTAAGCAGCTAATTAACGAGAAAAAATTGTAGGTTGACTGACTTAACTCTGCCCCCTTTCCTGTTTCTCTGTCCATCCTCCCCTGCCGACTCTGGATCTACCGACCTTTATTTAGCCCAGTTCCCTCCTCCACAGACAAAGAGAAAGCTACACAAAGGCTTTATAAAGGTAGGCCCTCAGGGCAACCGGGTCTGCTTCCTTAACCACCGTTATGCCTCATTCAGAATCTTGAGTTCAGAGCAACAGTGAAAACTACCAGAAATTTGCAAAGACATAAAAAATTCTCACTGCGATCCAGGACTCTCGATCTTTACCAGTTTGTTCACATGATAACGGGGCGCTGGGAAACCTGTAATTGGACGGCTAGAGCCAAATGGGAGGTGCCTGAGAAAGATACCAGAGACCCAACCACCCAGTCTTTCAGGGGTGGACCAAGTTGGGAAAAGAACACAGGATGTCTTAGAATCCATCCCCAAAATATTTCCTAAAGAAACTCCATAAAACCAAATCTTTACATCCAAAGGCACAGAGTTTAGACATCGTGTCTAAATGCCATCATTTGCAAAGAGAGAAAGAAGGGTATAGGTACAGGCCTGGTTAAGACAAGCTGCTTGAGACAAGCTCTCAGGGAAAAGAAGGTCACAAAGCCCTAACTGGCCTGTTACTCAATCTTGTAAACAGAGGAAAGATGAACCAGTCTCTGACCATAAGGCAAGATTAGAAATACTATTGACACTTGTCAAACTTTCTGGTCTACCCATGCTGAGTCCGGACATAGAAAATGCTTCCCGCACTCAGTAACCTAGTTAAAAAATACAAGCTGGGTTGGGAAGCCACCTGGCTGGCTGAATTAGTCTCCAAAATGTGCCTTTCTAGCATAAGGACCATTTTCAGCCAGTTACTTTGAAACCCTTTTGTAAGAGAAATTTACATTTATAAAGAAAAGGCCTATTCGTAAGGGTGACAACCTCTCTGCACCACAGAGCAAGGACTATCGTTAGAAACTCTTACAAAGGAGACGATTTACATGACCTTTGTGTGAGGCCATTTCCTGGCGTCTTGTTTCAACTAGGCCTTTATACACCTTCCTTTCTTTGCCAACATGGTATTTAGGCCTGAGGTCTAAGCTCCCAGCCTTTGAAATGTAAATTTTCTACCTTGCCTTGCTGAACCGACAACCTTTTGGAAATGCAATTTAGGGGGCCTACTTTGAAAAAGGAAAAGGAGGAAAAGGAATTATTTGGAAACTGGCAAATGAAGTCTTTGCTTTTTGGGTAAAAAGCATTAACCATCTGGATATTCTGCATGTTCTTTATAAACTAGTGAGGTTTGTGCTACCGTATCTGGCAGTTGGTTGAAATGTTAGAATGAAATAAAGGTATCACACTACTGGACTTCAAAATATACTACAAAGCTATAGTAACAAAAACAGCACGAGGCCAGGCTTGGTGGCTTATGCCTGTAGTCTCAGCACTTTCAGAGGCTGAGGCAGGAGGATTGCTTGAGGCCAGGAGTTTAAGACCAGCCTGGGCAACACAGTGAGACCCCGTCTCTAAAAAAAAAAAGTATATATATAAATTAGCCAGGCATGGCATGGTAGCACGTGCCTCTAGTCCCAGCTACTCAGGAGGACGAGGCAGGAGTATTTCTGGAGCTTAGGAGGTGGAGGCTGCAACGAGCTATGATCACACCACTGCACTCCAGCCTGGGTGACAGAGTGAGACCCCGACTCTACAAAAAAATTTAAAAATTAGCCAGGTACAATGGTGGACACTTGTAGTCCCAGCTACTCAGGAGGTTGAGGTGCAAGGATCGCTTGAGCCCAGGAGTTGGAGGTTACAGTGGGCTGTGATCATGTCACTGCACTCCAGCCTGGGCAACAGAGTTTGACCCTGTCTCTAAAACACAAAACAAAACAAAATAGAACAACAAGAACAACAACAAAGATCAGCATGACACTGGCATAAAAACAGACACATAGACCAATGGAGCAAAATGGAGAACCTGGAAATAAATCCAAGTGCTTACAGCCAACTTATTTTTGACAAAGGCACAAATAATAGTGGGGAAGGAACAGTCTCTTCAATAAATGGTGCTGGGAATATCTATATGCACAAAAATGAAACGAGAGCCCTAGACCTCTCTATTCTCTTCTGTAACAAGAC